CCTTATATGACATTTGCCATTGAGTTTTTCTAACTATCTCTAAGCCGTCATCCTCCAACAACCTCTAATTAATACAACATATTCCATCGAAGATTCAATGATTCAACTCCACCGTCTATTCAAGATTAGAAAAAATGAAGCAACAAGCATATTGCCTTGCAGGAACCTTCTAGTTTTCCCAGAACAAGAGAGCATATGAAGGGTGTCTTCTGATGGGTGTAGTGTGTTGGTTTTCTTTGTATTGCTCTTTTTGTTGGTTACTCTCCAACTTCAAGCTTGAGGTAGTGCAAGCCCTCATCCTCCAACAACCTCTAATTAATACAACATATTCCATCGAAGATTCAATGATTCAACTCCACCGTCTATTCAAGATTAGAAAAAATGAAGCAACAAGCATATTGCCTTACAGGAACCTTCTAGTTTTCCCAAAACAAGAGAGCATATAATAAATAGATCTAGAAATAATAACTGAAAAGAAATCAGAGTTGCATTGCCAACATAAACTAGGGTTTGAATTTATTAAAATAAACTCTAGAAGGAAAAAATATAGAACAAAAGGGAAATTAGGAAGAGCAAAAAGAGAAGAGATGAGATGTCATTGCAGGTCTGCATCTAAATAAAAAATATAGAACAAAAGGGAAATTAGGAAGAGCAAAAAGAGAAGAGATGAGATGTCACTGCAGGTGTGCATCTAAATCAGTATGAGTAAAAATAGATGTTGGGACTACACCTTGCAATGTCACATCACTATTTTGACCTCTTTTGGGGAGTGGGGTTAAAAGACACTTTCTAGCTTTTAACCCATTTTGGGTCACATCATCTGTCACATTTTTTTACATGTTTTTTCAAAAAAAGCCAAAAAAAAAAACAAAAACAAAAAGCCAGCTTTTAACCATCTTCCCAAAACACCCCTTAATCCTATATATATAGAAAATGTCCAAAATTAATAGAAAGTGCATTAAGTTGAATAATACTTGGAGAAAATTTTCCATCTTTTTTTATTAGAGATAAGTAAATATTCGACAGTAATTTCAATAAACAATTGATAAACATACAGAAGAAAGAATCTAGATATTCCAATAGACAAAAAGGAAAGAAAGTAACAAATACATGATTAAGAAAACAAGATGTATTAAGTTTTGCAAGGAACAATTATAGCTTCAAGTAAGAAATATGAGGTCAAAAATGAGTAATTCACAACATTATCAAAATTCAGGGTATACCTTTTAGTCAACAGATTTAACTACAAGAGCAAAAACTGTAAATTAAAATCATGTAGAACAACAATGAGAATAAGGGTAGCTGTCAAGGGTCAATAAGAGTTAATCCAGCTGACATTTGAAATAAGAAAATATCACAACCAGATAGGCAATATTTCTTTCAATGGGAGTAATTTGGCTACTATTCAGAACCAAAAAAAAAAAAAAAGCACGCAAACATATAAATCTAAGAGCAGATCGTGTTTTCCACTATGTTAAACAATCAAAGCAACCATAAGAAAAGGTTGTTTATCTTACAACTCTGCGAAGGACAGGTTCCAAGGACGAGCAAAGCTTTTGCAAACTATCCATCTTCAGAGCTTCCACAATCACACTGCATGCAATATCAACTTTTCAGAACATTGCTCTTTCTTCCGTCACTCATATAAAAGTGGAACAACAGATGATGTACAATAACATGTTCATGAAGTGTTGCCAACATGTCTAGCAAAAAATTAATAATTAAAAAAATTGACACGCCACATGGCATGCTCAACATGTGTCAAACAAGGACATAGCACCCATTTAGAGTGTCTGTGCCTGTATAGGTGTTGGCTCATGCACAGGGAAACTAGTAGAATTATAGACTGAATAATGGTTAAGGGAAGGGAAAAACTTGTGAAGATGAGAAGATGATAAGTATGAAACATCCATTCAAAACCTATTGCAAGTCCAAAATTAACGTAGTCACACATACTGTTGAAAGTTAACAAGCATTACAGTTTCTACTAATGCCAAAGCATTCTGTTTTTCCTTGCTAGGTGGTGCGAGCAATGTGCTTCAAATCTATGGTTCATTTCCATTGTTATAAGATTTTGTAAGTTGCTTTTAAATGTGTAATTTATTAATTTATCTTGTTCTTTCAGTGCAAAATGTGTTCTAAGACTTATGGAGACTACGTAATTAAATGTTATGAGAATCCAATAGCTCTCTCTCTCTCTCTCCTGATGTTTGTAAATTGGTTGAAGAGGTATTCATGATTTTAAGGCTTGGTATCTAGGCAGCATGCATTTACAAGGGTTCTTACGTTCTTAGGCAGAGGAAATGCCCTTTTAGTGGAATTCTGCATATATGAAAAACAATTACGACTTTCAGAACTAGCATTTAAAAACAGTAGAATAGTTTGAAAAAGTTGAGATCAAGTACCCATGAATGTTATATGCCTTTGGATCTCATTCCATCAATACTATCAGTATAAGTAAACAGAAGACAATTCTATAGCTTATCTCATTGCATCAATACTAATTTACCGTGCTTTGCATGCCATATTCTATTTGTCAGTTTAGTTCTTTTTGTTCTTTCAATATTTAGCTTTCAATTGATGACTTAGCTCTCACAATGTTGGGGTTTATGAATAACAGGGCAGCAGCACCTGCAGCTAAGAACACAGGTATTCATAAGTAAATACTCGGTGTAATTGACTTACAATATTCACATTGTGTGATTAATGTGTCCTGTTGTGTGGTAATAATGAAAAAGTGAAGTTGATAATACTCTTATTTTGGTGCTAACTGACCAACTCAACTCAAGCAGCCATAATCCTGACTCGAGTTTTTTCTTCTAGTTTTTGTTCTATGTGAAGTCATGATTTTCAGTTAAGTTCAAGGTAAACTATAACTTTAATTACAGCTCCAACCGTAGTCATTTTGGTCTCACTGGTAACTTCAAACACACACTGGTAACTTCAATCATGTTGTGTGGTAATAATGAAAAAGTGAAGTTGATAATACTCTTATTTTGGTGCTAACTGACCAACTCAACTCAAGCAGCCATAATCCTGACTCGAGTTTTTTCTTCTAGTTTTTGTTCTATGTGAAGTCATGATTTTCAGTTAAGTTCAAGGTAAACTATAACTTTAATTACAGCTCCAACCGTAGTCATTTTGGTCTCACTGGTAACTTCAAACACACACTGGTAACTTCAATCATGTTGTGTGGTAATAATGAAAAAGTGAAGTTGATAATACTCTTATTTTGGTGCTAACTGACCAACTCAACTCAAGCAGCCATAATCCTGACTCGAGTTTTTTCTTCTAGTTTTTGTTCTATGTGAAGTCATGATTTTCAGTTAAGTTCAAGGTAAACTATAACTTTAATTACAGCTCCAACCGTAGTCATTTTGGTCTCACTGGTAACTTCAAACACACACTGGTAACTTCAATCATGTTGTGTGGTAATAATGAAAAAGTGAAGTTGATAATACTCTTATTTTGGTGCTAACTGACCAACTCAACTCAAGCAGCCATAATCCTGACTCGAGTTTTTTCTTCTAGTTTTTGTTCTATGTGAAGTCATGATTTTCAGTTAAGTTCAAGGTAAACTATAACTTTAATTACAGCTCCAACCGTAGTCATTTTGGTCTCACTGGTAACTTCAAACACACACTGGTAACTTCAATCATGTTGTGTGGTAATAATGAAAAAGTGAAGTTGATAATACTCTTATTTTGGTGTTTGAACACATTATTCGTTACTTTATTTGTTGAGGGTTAGTAAGATAATATTTCAGTGCAAGCCTTTTCTGGTATTTTTTATGTAGTCCTCTTTGCAATTTAAAATCACTGTTAAATTGTGAATTTCTTCATAATGCAGTTGGTTCTCATTTATACCCTCAGAATCCAGTCCTCCGCCTTGGAAGTCAGCTCAACTTCAGTGTAGAAGGTTGGTGTATGATAAAATTTTACATTAATTTTTAGTTGGTCACAACTAAAACTCACAAATCCATTTCGGAAATCTAGATCTAAAAGACAACATTGAATTAATGTTTAAAAAGCCATACTAATTGTATATGCAGAAAATTACAAATTATATGAAGAAGTTGGAGAAGGTGTCAGCGCCACTGTTCACCGGGCTCTCAGCATTCCTTTGTGTTGACTGGGATTTGGGAATGTATCCTGCTCAAAATTGTCTTTGTTGTACATGAACCTATTATGATTAATTGAATACGAATCCCTATTCTGCAGTGTAATGATGTGTGTGGGCAGTCTCCAATCTGGTTGAATGTCTCCCAGTAGCGACTGTTGTAAGATCTGAGGGTCTCTTTTTCACCCATGTCGATGGAGAGTAACTGGTCTATCTCCACCGGTGTTTTAGTATTTGTTCAAAACCTCGTTACGAACGCTTCTGCCAATTGGGCCCAGGAGGCTATGCTGCCCTCTGGGAGCTTTTCGAACAAAGTCAAGCCTAGGTCGCCAAGGCTTGACGGGAAGAGTATGCACATTAAGGCCTCGTTTCGCCTGAAATGATTCCATCAGTAAGTATCATCTTCAATCGAACTTGACTGTGAGAAGATAGAGATAAGACTGATCAACACTTACCATGACGAAAGACCTGCGAACTCGAACATGAACTAGAGATAGAGATAAGACTGATCTGCGAATCGATGATCTATGAATACTTCAATCGAATAAACGAAGAGGTGAATCGAATACTTGAAGAGAAGGGTTGCAGATTAATCGATTACTAAATGAAGGGGTTTGAATCGAGAGAAACGAAAGGGTTTGAAGCAAGAGAGAGTGAAATCACGGGTGTAGTGAATCTTCTTTGATTTAAGCTTCGATGGATCTGAATCAGGTTTTGTTCAGATCGGGGCTTCGATCTGAATCTTTTTTGATTTAAGCTTCGATGGAGCTTCGATGGAGAGGGTTGAGAGAGAGAGAGATCTATGCGCATGTATTAAGGGTTGAGAGATCTGTGCGTATGTAGGCTCTGATTCAAAATAAGGTTTTCACAAAAAAGGGGCGCGTGTGGGTCACCACATTCGGAGGCGTTTTTAAACGCCTCCCATCATAAAACGGTGTCGTTTTGTTTAATAGAATATGCGGCGTTTATAAAACGCCGTTAAATACTAATAACAGTGACGTTTACAGAAACGTCGTTAACAAAACGCCACAAAATCCCCCTTTTCCTGTAGTGATGATAGGTAACATGGTACCAAGCAGATGCTTTTGCGTATACATCGTCAGATTCAGCATCAGATGTAGTTCTGCTCGTGTTGAACCAGGTTCTAGCTTCCTTTCTCAATGACCTCACAGCCAGGCCAACATCCTCTGCATCTCTTCTCCAGTCAAAAGATTTCAACATTTTCATAATACTACCACTGAGTATTTCGGCTTCTGTTTTGATCCCAAAATAGTCCATTTGGTTTCCCAACTTGTAATCGTACTCACTTTTGTAATCAAAAGCATCGTCAACGTAATCCTCAAAACCATCCACTTCCATATCAGGATCATATGAGTTCCTTGCCACGTCCCTCGTGAAGGATTTGAAAGAGCTCGACTGTGGCGAAATGTCTTTCACCGCTAGGAAAAGCTTCTCAATCACACTTTCTGATTCATAGGTAGTCTTGTCAGGCTTTTCCATAAAATCGGGATATATTTTGACCCGTAATTCAGTTGGTATCTCAGCTGGCACACCAGTCTTTGGGAAGTCAACGGCAATCGAGAATAGCTGTGCAAGCTTTATACAAGGGTCGCTCATTGCTTTTAAAGGTTCCCTGTCTGCAAAAACTGTGTGGGCATTTGCAATGATGCCTAAACTGTCATTCACTATATAGTTCGTGAAGTACTCCTCAACTTCCTACAAGAAAAAAATGTGGTGTGTTGAATATAACAAATAAACATGTTATTGGGAATGGGACGGAACATTTGAGCAAGCATTGAACATGATAATTTGGAGTTGTATCAAACATCACAATTGTACAGAAATATAAGTCGAGCATGAAACATTCGAGAGTGATTCCATGCAGTTCCCAGCTACTTCTAGTTTATTACTGATTTACAATTTAATTATTTACTTCATCTTAATTTTGTTAGTAGCTTAGTTTAGGAATGTTATTGGGCCAACAGTGCAACAGTCACATCTAATATCATGTCACATCAAGCCACACGTATGGCCTTCCAAGTAAGACTCCTTATCTTCCAGGGCTATCAAAGGAGTAGACTATCTTCACTGGATATCTCAATGTGTCTCAATAGCTTAAAACCAAACAAACCTTTCTCAGCAAAATAGATCTTTACAAACTTCAACATCGAAATAGATGATGCCCTTTAATACCTGGCATCTTTAACACCTAGAAAACACTGGATACTTGGGTCTCTAAATATAAAATGTCTACCGTGATCTTTGGGGTCCTTAATAATAATAATACCCCATGTCATCTCAATAAGCCATTAGAGAAACAGGTCCTCAATATCATACATGAATGAAATGTCTGTCATGATCATTGAGGTCCCTGTTACTAGGATCCATCACCCTAAAGAGTGTTGAGGCATGCTTTGATAAGACCTTGTTAAAATTTACCTACACCTACCACCACCTACTACCACACCTACTACACCTACCACCAATTTACCCTCACCTACTCCTCACCTACTACCCAAATCCTCTTCTATATAATAGGAATCCTTGTAATATCAATATCACAACACAACAACATATATCAATCAATAATACATAAATTCTTACATGGTATCAGAGCAGAGTTAAGACTCTAATAATTTCGCTTCATCGGCGGGCGGCAACCTCGTCTTAGGCCGCCCGCCGGACCTCTACCCATACCCATCTCAGTCTCATCAGTGGAAGAAATCATCAAGCGCTACTACACATACCCATCTTTTGTCTGTGCCACCTCTCCATGGAAGGATTCGAATTTGATGCACCACCGCCGTACACGGCGGCCGACGAGATCAATGACTTCTGCAACTCAATCCTCACTCGATTCAGCTCCTCCACGGAGGACCACCACCATCGCCTCTGCGTCATCATCGGCGCAATGTCTCAGGAGCTCAAAGACCAACCGCTCCCTCTCACTCCCGTCGCTTACTTCGGCGCCACTTGCTCCTCCCTCGACCGCCTCTCTGCCGAGGCTGAGCCGCCCAGTCACGTCGCCGCAGCCTCGGAGACCAACGAGCCGGTTGTTACCAGTCACAACGACCTTGGTGTGACGTGGCAGAACA